ACTTGTCTCAGCGCAGACCGGCTAGATGGTCTGCAACGGATGGTGGACAAGTCCCGGCGACCTGGCTTGGAAACTTTACGCCGGGCTTTGCTGACCAAGGGCGGAGCCAAAAGTCAGGCCCGCGCAGTGGGCACCGTCCTTTTCAAGGAAGCCCTTACCATTTTCAGCAGTCCGAAGCGCGACGCGGGGGATCAGCCGACGGAAGGCATGGGAGATCTGCCTGGCGCTGAAGTGGTCAAGACTCCCACTGATGACAATCTTCGTGAAATGATCTTAGACGAGATCTACAATCCTCCCAAGCGGTTTGTGTGCTCGGACGCCTTTCCAAAGGATGCCACCGTGGCAGTGCGAGCTGCACCGACGCAACAAAGCGAGTTTTTGACCTGCCTGCCCTTCGGAGCGGAACCTTGACGACAACTATGCGCAGGTTTGAGTGCGGTTTGAGTTTCATGTGTGCCTAGCTCCCATGTCCTCAAGAGATCGCAGTCCTGGTCACCATCCCGGCTCGTTCTGAAAGGCTTATGTGACCCTGCTTCTGTCAGGTAGTTACATCTTGATATTGATCGTACTTGCATGGCAATATGAGAGTCATGCCAGTGGCCACTACTGTCGTGACACAGCACAGTGGCTACACAAGACCGACAACACACCAGCGAAGTTATGCCACCCTTGTGCACGTGGTATCACCGGCATCTACCAATAGCACTCCCACCACCGCCACTGGCACCCCCGCCACTACCGTGACGAAGGCCACAAGGAGTTTCAGATGTACTGCTGACAGTTTCGATCATTGAAGCTTACTTTTGCTTAGGCACTCCCAAAGCCCTGTGCTTGTTCATATTTAACTTAACTGTTTGTCGCTGAGCCACATGCCAATGTCAAAGGTTGAGAGGTGAGGGACGATGACTGGTTGCCAGGGACAAAGCACCATAGCCCTTGCTTGAGGAGATCATTGCAAGCGGCCGTTGTGGGGAATTCCTGCGCTTTCAGCTGCAGGTGCGCAAGGGTGAATCAGTGTGCACATGCATTGGGAATCCGTTTGCTCTTTGTAGTAAATGTATGTAGTATGTACGTATGTATGTATGTATGTATGTATGTATGTATGCTTTATGTATGCTTTATGTATGTATGTATGTATGTACGTATGTATGTATGTATGTATGTACGTAGGTATGGATGGATGGATGGATGTAAAGATACATGTATCGCCGGCATATGTAAAATGCCTACATACAATTACATACACAGCCTAGGTGGATGTTTGAAACATGTGTCTGTGTATGTACGTGTTGCATGTCTGAGTGACTGTGCAGAGGCAAGCGCTGCATAAACTTCACGCGCATGTGACGAGATGGTCCAAGATGTGCTTGAACTCGGGAACAAGGGTTTCCATCGTTTGCGGAGGGGTCAGCAGCCAATGCACCCACGATTCATGATCGTGATTCTGTCGTTTGACTGCTCTTCTGGTGACGATCTTGGTGCTGATCGAAACTGGATTGACTGCACTACCATATGCGCTGCTTAGCATTGGTGATCTTGTTGTCGTTGAGCTCCGGTGGAACCGTGATTCTCACAGTTGCCCAGCCAGGAAGCCACAAATTCGCAACAAACAATCGCCATTCCTACCGGCCTCTGTCAGCCAAATCAACACGAAACAAAGCTTGTGCAGGAGGATCATGGGTGTCGACATGCCTACGTCCCCCTGGTCTTCCAGGGGCTCCAGCTCTTTGCAACTTCTTCTGCATGTGTTCCAGGACGGTCTCGGTAATGTAGAAAGCTGCATAGGAAACCGGCACTTCATATTAGGTGTCCTGGTTGGGCTGTGGTTTCAGACAACATATGGCCAGCATTGTTTGCCATTGCAACACTCTAAAGTGTCGATGTCTTGGTTGCCCAGCATCACGAGACGGTTCACTGCGCCTCAGTTGAAGCTTTCGAGTTTACTGGTACCTGATACTGTATGCCGCAGACCTTCCGCCGGGCTCATGTGAGAGCCCTGGCGCAAAAGTTCGACCCGTGAGAAACCCTCCATACAGAAACCCCCCGGTTATACCTGGACCAGTTGCGAGAGTTGAACTGGTGCACCTAGGATATCGGGATAGTGCATGTCGGCATCCCTGCGTGCACATGCTATGATGATAGCATAGAGCAAACAAGCCATACCTGTTTGACGGAGATTTGATGGACTCATGGTACGTAAAGTTTTGATTGCATGAAGAAGTTTCTGTTTCTGTGAATTCGGTTTGGCAGTGCCCTTATCACCCAGGTGCCCCAAATCTGCGGCGCATCCGTCGCGCCGACAGAAGGCCCAATCATGTCTGACGGAGGACCCAAACCGTAAGACTGTAAAGCCAAAGCATGAGCAGGGTTCAGGTTTAGGGAGAAGGGTACCTGCAAATCGAGAAGTGCACAAGACTGGAATTTCAGGCGTAAGTAACTTCGTTTAGGCTTTCCTTGTCGGTTTGGTAGATCTTGTGCGGAACTTCTCTACAGATTCTTCTTTTTGATTGATGACTAGCGACTAGCTCATCGCATCGACAGGGTTTGCAGCAGTTTCCACATCTGGCACCGCTTCGGGGACGATTACGGGGCTTAGGTTCTACGAGGTTCAACATGTTGTTGGGCTTGTGGCCCTGGCAACCACAGCCTCGCCGCACGGCACGCTAGTAACGATTATTGCAGGAATGAGACTCGACCAGTGATGCAGCTCCTGAGTCATCCCCATGGTGGTAGGAGTTGGCTTCGCAGCTTAGCATGAAGCCAGGCAGCCGTGTGGCGGACCTGGAGCGGCGAGTGGCCGTGCAAGAGCAGGTGATCCAAGGATTGCAGGCAGAAGAGCATAAATTCCAGGCAGTTGTGTCGTGTCGTGAAGTCCCCTGACAAGTGAAGAGGCGGTAGAACCGGCGGTGGTGGCGAAGTTCAGGTTGTTGCGGCAACAGCAGTGGAATCAATGGTGGTGATGGTAGTCTGGCCGTGGCGGTTGTTTACTGGAGTGTTGAATTGAAACCTGAACTGCAGGCCGAGCTCTGCAGCCTCCGGGCACACATGAGTGCTCGGAGCTCAGGCAAGCAGCAGTAGTTATCAGGCTATCCCTGGTCAGAGGATCCTGCTGTTGACACTACCCCGGACCGGAGTGTCGTCCCTCAGCTAGCAGCCTTTGTCTACACTGCACTTATATCTACATTTTGTACACTGTCGTGGCGCGGTCTTGGATGGGGTATCCTTGAGCTTGTTTTGAGCCTGTGGATGTAAAGTGTAATGTGGCAGCATCCTTTCATTCCCGTCAAGATTTGGGTTGTGCCGGCTGAGGCAATTGCAACAGCTTTTGGAGCCTTCTCCCCGAAGCTGTGAGTGGACAGTCTCGCAGGTGGCCTGTGGTGAAGTCTGTGTAAGACATGGGGAGAGTCTTGTGATTGTGATTGCTCTTACTTAGTCTTACTTCCGTCTGTTGTTTATTGCACTGTGTCCAGGCAAAAAATGTTCCGTCGCAGGCATGATGCACGACAGTTCTTGTTGCAGCTCGTCCACATCTCATAGCACCAGGACCGTTACTACAGTGACATGTGTTGGCGTTGGGTGAGGGTAAGAGCGGACTGTAGTGGCTCGTGGCATGAGGTGCTATCTGACCCGGAGATGTCGGTGAGCTTCGTAGGACCAACGAGCCATTCATGATCCTTCTCGGCGGGCAAGTGAAGTAGGACTATCAGCAAATAGTGACTAATTATGGATATGTGGAAGGGCATGCACGAACGACATAGGGCTCTGATGGCTCTGATCGGCAGCAAGCCGGTCTATGTCAGTTTCTGGCGACCTCCGCCTCTCCGTATGGCGAGCAGCCATTCTTGTGGTTCGATGTCGGATGGTGTTTGACATTTCTTGGGATCTCTACAAGAGATGCTGGGCATCCGGGTGGCTGATAATTCGGGAATTTGCTGCGTGTAATTCGCTCAGAAACTCATGGTCTCCGAGCGGGAGGACAAAAAAGGCGGCAGATGCTTGAGCTCAGCTCGTGATTCAAGGTGCCAGAGGCGAAGCATCCATGAAACCAATTCGCTGCAACTCAGGTTCAGTTCTCGAAGCCCCACTCGCCTTCGCGTCGAAAGACTGGACGATGGGGAATAGAGATGCGGAGAGAGCAAGCGCCGAACGACAGAAAGTGGGCCTGCGGCATCCAATGTCGCAGAATCAGGTATTGATATAGGGCATGCGAGAGGTGGGAGGTAGCCGTTCGAGACTAAGATGCAGTCGTAGGAGTCGCACCTGCTCAGTCGTCAGGACATCTGACAGCACAGGAGGTGATAGCAACGATATTAGCAAGTCGTTGTCGGAGGGCCGTCGGCGCACGACTACTGTGGTCTGCAAGCCAGCAAAATCGAAACAGTCATTCTGGTCAAATGCTCGCATAGCTCGCCCTGCAAAGCACGCTTACGTGCATCACATGCTCACGGACCCCTTGGTCGACAATCAGGTTGTCGTGCAGAATGAACACACTTGACAATGATCTCAATTCTGCAAGGTTTCCGGCAAATCCACCTTGAAAGCCGTCAGTCTTACATGGTTTCTCTCTGATGAACTGCTGGGCGATTGTTGTCCCTGCCAGTGCCACTCCAGCTGACGCCGACTCATGGAAACAACTTTCTGCCAGCGGGTCAGTGCCCTCCGGACATAGTGCACCTTGCCTGGTTGGGATCCCGGTGGCCGCAACAACAACGAGGCGCGGCTGAATGATCTGCATGAGTTAATTGAAGCTGGTGGTGGCTCGTGGCAACAGCTTGCCCCCTCCTCCCCCTCCTCCCCCTCCCCTCCCCTCCCCTCCCCTCCCCTCGCCTCCCCTCCCAACCTTTGACCCAAGACGAAAACCCCAAGGAGTATACCCAGCAGGAAGCCGCTACCAAAGACGAAAACCCTGAGGAGTAAACCAGGAACCTTTGGCCGAAGACGAAAACCCTAAGGAGTAAACCCAGCGGGAACCTTTGGCCGAAGACGAAAACCTTGAGGAGTCAAGCCCGCATGAACCTTTGGCCCCAGCATGAACCTTAAGGAAGCACGAATCTTTTGCGAAAGAACAGAACCCTGAGGAGCAAACCCCGCCGGCTGCGAAGTAAAGCAAGAAAGGTCACATCTAAGATGCGTGCTTTGCCACCCTCTGCAGAGATTCGTTGTTTTTGAAGACGAAAAAAGTTACAACTAAGATGTTTTGTTGAAAAAGCACAAAACTTACATCTAAGCAAAACAAGTTACAACTGGGCGTGCTACCGCATTTTGCGGCAGTTTGGGATGTGGTCCAGAAACAGTTGTACGTGTTTGGGGGCCACGACGGCAGCACTGCAATGAATGATTTGCCACAGCTACAGCAGCCAGGACAACTCATGGGAAAAGATCTCGCCAAGCGGCTCCACACCCACCAAGCGCCAAGGCCATGCAGCTGTTTGGGTCCCTGGCGAAATGAAGATGTATGTGGCTGCAGGACAAGATGGTGCAGCAATGTTGACCAACCTGGAAAGCTATGACACTCGAATCAACACATGGAAACAGCTTGCTCCAAGCGGCACTTCCCCTAGCGGACATCGTAATCCGCTTGCAGTCTGGAGCACGGACCAGAGTCGCATGTACATGTTCGATGGCCACGAGACTTGGAGCGGATCTGCCTATGTGAATGACATTCGCTTCTATGACAGCCATGCCAACACTTGGCAGGAGCTCTAGCAGTTCGTTGCCCAGTGCTCGGGCTTTCCAAGCCGGTTTCTGGGTGAGGGGTGAGAGCCGGATGTACCTAGTAGGAGGAAACCCACGTGCTGTCGTAAGTGACTAGGCACGAGCTCACCATCACTTCTTTACTGTCCACGACAACATCTTCGACCATGGCAGCCATTTCCTTTTCTACGTCGACCACCTCTACCTCCAGTGTCTCGGCGACGGTAACTCCAGGCCTCCAAGCTCAGCAACTGTCTCCCAGCGGGTCATTGCCCTCCGGACGTAGTGCCCCTTGCCTGGTTGGGATCCCGGGCGAGGAAAAGATGTACATGCTCGGTGTCAACAACAACGAGGGGAGGCTGAATGATCTGCATGAGTTAATTGAAGCTGGCGGTGGGACCGATGTACCTCTTCGGGGGGCGAGGGAGCAGCAGCGAACTCAGCGATCTGTTTTTTCGCTGACAGCCCGGCGGACTCATGACAGCAACTGTCCCCAACAGGTTCTCTGCCGGCTGTGCGCATGTGTTTTGCGGCAGTTTGGGATGCGGTCCAAAAAAAAAATGTGCGTCTTCGTGGGGCAATACCGCAGCACCGCATTGAATGATTTGCACAGCTACAGCACGGCGGATCTCCTTGGGGTGCCAGCACTTTGGCCGGCGCGGACGGCAGCCTGCAGCCATCGGCACTGGAGCTTAAGATCGCTAAGAAGCACGGGGAAGTGTTCGCACTGCCGTGAAGCGCACGACTGCGCCAGCAGCATCAAAGAAGGCGAAGTATACTACAGCATGTACGGCCACGTCAAGAAGCTGGCTGATGAGATCGCTGCCTCTAATTATGAAAGAGGAGGGCGTGAGTGTCCACAGCAACTGGCAGACTACGATGGCGTCTTGTTTGGAATCCCCACCCACCCGCTTCGGCAGTGCCTCAGGCCAGATGAAGGCTTTCTTCGACAGTACTGGCTCACCATGGCAGATCGGCGCACTTGCAGGGAAACTTACGGAAAGCTGAACGTGGCATGGCGTCCACCCACATGACCACGATGACCAACATGGTGCATCACGGCATGATCTATGTACCCTTTGGCTACCTGGCCGGTGGCGATGGTCAGTTTGGGGGTGCCAGCACATTTGCTGGGGTCGACGGCAGCCGCCAGGCCAGCTTCACGGAGCTGAAGATAGCACGCCGCCAAGGAAAGGTCTTTACTTTCAAGGTGAAGCAGATGATGAAGTGAGGTGAATAGAGCAACATCTGTAAAGTTATTGACGCCGAGCCTGAGCGCTTGCCTGCCGGGACTTCGTCGGTCTGTTGCAGGGTATCCTTAACGGCGCACCGATCGTCAGGTATGCTCGAGGTTTTCTTTTGCTCTCGCAGGGTTGCTGAAGGCACGAATCGGCAGCATCAGGATGGCGAGGACGACAGCGGATGAAGTCAGTCTAAGTCAGTGGAACTACCATGGGCTGTCCCGCCGCATCCGTCGCCTTTGATTTTGTTGTCCCGTTGTCAACACAGGTCCTGGACACACTACAGGCCTTGATTGCCCACCCACCCGGCAAAACATGGCAAGCCCAAATGCTATGTCAACGGGAAAAAGCACCTTGTTGTCGATCGCTCTCTTCGGCCGTGTCTGTGCAATTCATGTGCAACACCCTTGCTCCGAACTCCATTTGCTTTGCTTCGAAGAACGGCTCCACGTGTTATCTTGGCGTCATGCTTGCACTGGTTCCTTCAGTCGCACTGGGAAATATCATAAAGTTGCGGTCCCTCACGCAAGCCTGAAGCAGTAGGCTCCGCAACATAAGGACCCACCAAAACAGTTCTCAGCACAACTCCGTGTCTTCCGGCTCGAAGGGTAGAGGGGAACCCGGCAGAGACCCGGGGTCACAGGGCGCGGCAGGGCGCGCAGTGGCCCAGGTGCCGGCTCTACGCGGGGTGTAGAGGATGATGATAAGCAGTTGTTCATTACGACGGTGATGGTGATTCCGGTGGTGGTGGTCGTATGGCATTGGTGATGGGAACGGTAATGGTAGCGGTGATGCAGAGTTTCTTTCAGTCTTCGTCATAATGGTGGAGGACGCTGCTTTGGATGATTCTGCTGTAGGCGAAAAGATTGTGATTGGGATGCATGCCTTGTGGATGACCAAGCTGAAACGATGGCGATGATGGATGATGGCGGTGTTGGCGAGGTAGTCATGATGATACCGATGCGGTTGCTTCCCCAAAGTCTCCCAACACCTCCGTCATTGTACTGTTCAAGCTCAGCAGTATCATTCTGCCATTATGGGCAGCACCATAATCGGAATCATTCCTTTTGTTGGTTCCATTCTTAACCTCACCTTGGTCAGAGCATGGCCATGACATCATTGTCTTCTGCTTTATCATGATTTCGATCACTGTCTTTGTTCTCGCCGTCGTCGTCATCATGTATCATCCTCATCATCACCATCATCATCATCATCGTTGCCATTCGCTGCAGTAACAGGACTTATCATTATCATATGAAAGCGAGTGGTTCTTTGCTTTACGCTCGTTGCGCTTGTTGTTGAATTTTTTTTGTTGTTACTGCCGCTGCTGTTGTTGCCCACGTAGTTGTGCTGCTGCTGCTGCTCCTTATGCTCCTCCCCCCTCCTGCTGGTGCTGGTTGTGGTGGTGGTGGTGCTGCTGCTTCTGCTCATGCTGTAGTTTTGCCAATCGCGATGCCAGGTGGTGCTGTCATGAGGTCAATGGTATTTGTTTCCAAGTGCTTGGGGACCACTGGCGGCAGCATTAGCTGGAAACTCTTAGCAGTTAAACTTGAAGCCGCACCCCCACACAGCCAAACCTCTTTACCAACTTCAAGAAACAGACCTGGCTTGGGTCCGAGATCGGAGTTCCTTGCATCCAGGTGCACGTTAAGCTAGCGCTAGCAGCCCTTATTTCCTATAGCCTTGAGTCCCAGGCGGGCATCTTAACCCCATGAATCCGATGATGGGAGCCGCGGCCCGAGTGCAGCTTGTGCTGGCTGCGAGAGTGGCGGTGCTGATACAGCAATGTCGCCGTACGATCCGGCAGCAGCAATTCGAGTTGCAGTGGTAGCAGGAGGCAGAGTGGCAGCAATCGGTAGCAATAATGATGACATAGTAGCGATGGCGGAGGCCCGACGAAGGCGACGAAAGGAATCTGAAGACCGCAGTGTCAACAACTTGAAAGGAAATCGATAATGTTTCGGATCGCGACACCAAGCTTGGGTAGAAAAATAGAAAGAGAAGTATATTTTCAGCGGGGCAGGACTTGAAGGATAGACTGAACATGATGAGCTTACAGTGACATGCATGTATCATGACGGTTTTTGCTGAGGGCGGCGGAATGGGCTGTGGCGGCTGTGGTGGTTGCGGGGGCTGCGGCTGTGGCGGCTGCGGAGGCGATCCTGTGGCTGTGGCTCGGGTACAGGAGCGAGCATTGATGAGTGCGATTGTTTACGCAGAGAGGCTCAGTCGATTGCCCATTTTTGGCAGTCTGCCTCCATGCCATTGTGTTTGTACAACTAGGTTGCCACCATTGTCGTGCATCCGAGTGCTGTTGGTTGCTCGCTCTTGAGCTGCTGCCACTGCTAGCTCCACTGCCTGGCTCCTGGTACCGACCACTTCGACCACTACCACTACCAGCAAAGCTGTAAGAAAGGGGCCCAGGAACACGCTGGAAGATCTGTGACAAATATGTAGCACATAGGGCCTCACCGAACCCCAGCAAAAAAACAGCGGAGCTGTAAGTATCATCCCGCATCATGCCGCATTCAGGGATCATTTCTAGCACTGGCAAAGGTTCCTTGATCAGAACGTTGAGACAGTCGCTGCTTTTAAACGACTCCTGCTCGTACTATACTTTGAACTGTTTCGGAATTATCCCCTTTCCTTCGCTTGCACTGTACTCTTGCTGCCGTCCTTTGCTACTGTTGGGAAGCTAGAATAGAAATATCCATTGCAAAACAGTGGCAGCGCCGTGAAACGTTTTAGCGGGAATTCCTTCTCATACTTCTCATGTTCGTTGAGATGAGATCGGGAGTCGGACTAGTCGATCCAAGAAGACTTATCCACATGCTTGCCATGTTCTTGTTTATGGACCAGCAGGAGGTGAGCACTTAAGGCGCGATGTGTATGGAACCTTCGGCTGATCCCTTGAAGGTGGCTGCGGCATGCCAGGCATGAAGATGGGCCAGGGCCCCAGTGGAAGGTCCGTAGATACGTTTAAACAATTTAGCTGTTGGGTGTCGCATCCTCACGATCCCAGAAGTGAGTGTGTGCTCCACAGGCGGATGCGGTGGATGTGGGGGAGGCTGCGGAATGGGGTGTGGTGGCTGTGGCGGCTGTGGAGGTTGCGGTGGCTGTGGAAGTGGCTGCAGTGGGGCCATGCCTGCGTGCGGTGGTGCCATGCCTGCCTGCGGCGGCGGCGCATGTGGCGGCAACATGCCCCTTATCTGCACAGAAGTGGGCCTGACAACCTGAAGCTTGGCCCTTTTCGTTCAGTGTGCATGTAAAGCCGTGGGTGGTTCTGAGCAGCCCAGGGGCATGATGCAACCCAACGCCATGATGCAGCAGCAGGTGCACCACCCTGAAGGTTCCCAATTCTTCAGCCTGGCGATGGCCGGAGCCATGCCATGTTTGAAGCCATGCTCGGAGACAAGAAAAAGACATGACAAAACGATGGTATACAGCAGCACATATCTAATTTGTCGAGCGTTCGTTGTAAAATAAATGGAACAGTTTGGAAAGAAGTGCAGATGTGGACCGCGCGCATTCAGACGACTGCTGCGCAGAGACAGAGACCCATGGGTCTTCGAACTGACCAGGGAAGCCCGAGGCCAGATAGGTCTCGAAATTCTAATTAGGGGTGTAGCGAGGATCCTGTCATGTTGAGTCTGAATTCAAGTCACCTTGTTCAGTTCTTTCACCCGAAGAATTGAAGCCTCGCCTCTCCGATCTGGCAGATGGCGCAAATGTCCTCCATGATGATGCCCATGATGATGGCGCCTCGGCTTCAGTGAGTCGTTAGTCTGAAACTTCGCCCCATAAACAATAGACCCCCAAGCCCTGAACCTTAACGGATAGGCTTTGATTGTGTGGGTTGGGGCTAGTGGCTAGACGAAGGGTAATACAGGCACGTGATGCCTGATTGCAACAGTCTGCGAGGTCGTGAGGTCATGTCGATCTGTGTAGGTAACTTTTGTGATTAGTTCGACGGCTGTTGCTGTAGCGAGCTGCTCAATGTAGCGGCCAATTGAATCGCTCAACGAACTCAGACGCCTCGCCCCGATTGTCGCTGTGAGAATCTGTCGCTGTGAGAATCGAAAGGCTTCTAAGCCCCTAAGCCCTGAGCCATTAACTGTGGAGCTCGAAGTGACCATTTGGCCTTAAGTCCCTGTCAGCACATGCGTGTGCAGAATGCAGGGTCTATCTATTGCTGAAAGGCTTCGAAATCTCGCGTTGATGCTGGGATGTCGCTGTGTGTTCTGGATTCTGAATGTTGACAACTTCATGCTAGGCGTCTGAAGGGAGCGAGCTATGCTGCAAATCACCTTGAAGGTCTGTATGATGACAACCGTGATGATGATGATGGTGGTGCTGGTTACCGGGAAGGTGGACATTTTGTGCCATACTGCTCTTGGGCCCTCCCCGCGCTCAGGGCGGCGGCGGTGGGATGGGCGACATGTCTTCAGTCCTGGTCTGAGCTTTCTGTGTAGGCTGCACTTGGAAAATCTTGTCGGCGGCGCGGGCTCTCCTGTCTACTTCAGAGGGGTGAATGGAGACCCTGAAGAGTAAAGCCACCTCACTTACATGGGACAACAATCCTGCTGTTTGGCAGTTTAAACAGGAGCTTCGAGGAATCGGCCTACAAGGGTTCAGCTTGGATCGGAGCCCCTGCTCAGATGATGAAGAAGATGCAGGAGATGCCTGGTGCTCAGAGTTGAGCTTTGCTGCACGGGAGTCAATGCCTTCGAGAGTGCAGTGCATGGAACCATATGGCACCCGCAACAGGCGGGGCCGCACTAGCGTGCGGTAAG